ATCCACGGAATCTACAAGATGCCGATGGAGGGAGAAATCGTCAGGAGGCGCAGAATCAAGAGGGAGGAGATCAAAGTATTTGGCCCATGAAGCAGGACCAAACAAGGCCTGATACGCATCAGCACGGGAAGGAATCGAGCGAGTGCGGTTGGGGCGCGAACGGCGTTGAGAACCCCTAGAGATTGTTTCGAGAGATGCTGGAAGATGACCATTTGTTGATGGGTCATGACTATAGGTGCATCCTTTCTCTCCTCTTCTCAACCTTTTTTCTCTTGTGACGAGAAATGTTGGTATTAAGGCAGTCTTCTCTATGGCTGGTGGAAATGCCAGTCACATTAGAAAAAAAAGAGAAAACAAATGTTGACTGCTTGGCGGGTGCCTTCCTGTAGTAATTTGAGAGAAAAACACGCAAAATAAATCTTATAAATAATGAACTTTAATTTACTTTGAACAAATAGAAACAAAATAAAGGTAATCCCTTGGCTATGTACAGTGCGGATCAAAAATATATGCAAAAAGACAAAACACAATATAAAATATAATAATGATTACGTTACTCTACAATAAGCAAGACAAAATTAGTAAATGGTGCCGAGAATATTGGGCTGGCTGGAACCTCTACTAATATACGAGAAGTATGATAGATAGAAGTGTCAGCTCCAGAGCACGGGAGTATTCTGAGGCCAACTGCTCGTGCAAGACTATATATATAGGCGGGTGCAGATGGCGCTGGAGTCGCTGATTCTCCAATGGGGAAAGTGTTGGCTTGAAGAGGTAGTTTGGTGATAGACTAGGTGGTGCGGCGACAGTGAGGGATGGGGGTGAGGAGTAAGAGTTGGGTAGTGTACTCCCAGAGAGACGTCTGTTATTCCACTTATATACTCTTGAATGTGGTATCTTGATGTTGCAGACGTATAGAAGTAACGCAATGTTGGAAGGAGCAGGCTAAAATCTCTCTTGAAAGAGATTACTGTCACACTCTTTATACACACGACCACTAGGAAGCCTCGTGATGATGCGTGTCACCAAACTCCTGTGGGTTGCAACCACACTGGCCTCAAAACACGGTACATAGTAGCTAAGTGATCCCCACTTACTAATGACTGTGTGACGACCACTAGCCTGAGAACGCGGTGCACAGTAACTATGTGATCCAAACTGATGACAGTGACCTCAAAACACAGTGCACAGTAGGTAAGTGATTCCTACTTATTGACGACTGTAACGACCAGTGGCGTCAGAACAAGGTGCACAGTAGCTAAGAGATGACAACTTACTGATGACAGTGCCTTCAAAACACGGTGCACAATAGCTAAGTGATTCCTACTTACTGACGACCAGTGGTCTCCGAACACGGTACACAGTAGTTAAGTGATCCCCCACTTAATGACGACTAATGGGCTCAGAACGTGGTACGCAGTAGATAATTACGCATGTCGTAGACCGTGATCTCAGTTCAGAGCAGCAAAGCCATAATAAATTATTTATTTAACTATTATATAATAGGTATTACATACAAGTTCTGTTAGTGACAATGACATTTACAGGACATTTTTATTCTTGTTTTTTTAATTTTTCCAATTTTTATACAAAATTAATAAATAATTTAAATATAATTTTTAAAATGCTTTTACGACAAATTATTATTTTATATACAATATTTAATTTTTGATAGGAAATAATATTCTTACTATAAATTGATTGGTATTAGGAAGATATAAATGCTATTTATATGACTGTGCTCCGTCGCACTTGAGGAAGACTGTAGGGTTGGTTTTTTATCAATCTTTTAAGGGTGACAATTATATTCATAATATATGGTGTTCATTCATTATTTCGAGAGAAGTGCGATGCTGGAAGATGACCATTTGTTGATGGGTCATGACTATAGGCGCACCCTTTCTCTCCTCTTCTAAACCTTCTTTCTCTTTATACACGACGACCACTAGGAAGCCTCGTGATGGTGCGAGTCACCAAACTCCTGTGGGTTGCAACCACACTGGTCTCAGAACACGGTACACAGTAGCTAAGTGATCCCCACTTACCAACAACTGTGACGACCATTGGGCCTCAAAACACGGCACACAGTAGCTAAGTGATATCTACTTACTGACAACTGTGACGACAACTGGCCTCAGAACACGGTGCACAGTAGCTAAGTGATCCCTACTTACTGACAACTGTGACGACAACTGGCCTCAGAACACGGTGCACAGTAGCTCAGTGATCCCTACTTACTGATGACTGTGTGACGACCAGTGGCCTCAGAACACGGTACACAGTAGCTAAGTGATCCCTACTTACTGATGACTGTGTGACGACCAGTGGCCTCAGAACACGGTGCACAGTGGCTAAGTGATATCTACTTACTGACAACTGTGACGACAACTGGCCTCTGAACACGGTGCACAGTAGCTAAGTGATCCCTACTTACTGACAACTGTGACGACAACTGGCCTCAGAACACGGTGCACAGTAGCTCAGTGATCTCTACTTACTGATGACTGTGTGACGACCAGTGGCCTCAGAACACGGTGCACAGTGGCTAAGTGATCCCCACTTACTAACGACTCTGACGACCACTGGCATCAGAACACGGTACACAGTAGCTAAGTATTCCCCAATTACTGACGACTGTGACGACCACTGGCCTTAGAACATGGTACCTAGTAGCTAAGTGATTCCCACTTTCTGACGACAGTGACCACCAATAGCCTCAGAACACGGTGCACAGTAGCTAAATAATCCCCACTTACTGACTGTGAGATAACCACTGGCCTCAGAATCCGGTGCACAGTAGCTCAGAGCTCCCTACTTACTGATGACGACCCGTGGCCTGAGAATACGGTACACAGTAGCTAAGTGATATCTACTAAGTGACAACTGGCCTCAGAACACGGTGCACAGTAGGTAAGTGATCCCTACTTACTGATGACTGTGTGACGACCAGTGGCCTCAGAACACGGTACACAGTAGATAAGTGATCCACACTTACTGATGACCAGTGGCCCCAGAACACGGTACAAATCAAATCAAATGTTTATTCAGGTAAAGTACATACATACAAGGTGAGATACAAACATTGATGGACTTATAGATAGAGCTAGTACATACAATGTCTAAACCACTATTACGCAAAGCGTTTAGGCAGGTGGGCGGGGGACGACTTAGGTACACAGTAGCTAAGTGATCCCTACTTATTGTCAACTATGACGACCTGTGGCCTCAAAAGACGGTGCACAGTCGTTAAGTGATCTCCACTTACTGATGACCAGTGGACTGAGAACACGGTACACAGTAGGTAAGCTATCCCTAATTACAACTGCGACGACCACTGGCCTTAGAACACGGTGCATAGTAGGTAAGTGATTCCCACTTACTGATGACCAGTGGACGCAGAACACGGTACACAGTAGCTAAGTGATCCCCCAATTACAACTGTGACGACCACTGCCTCAGAACAAGGTGCACAGTAGCTAAGTGATCCCCACTTACTGACAACTGTGACGGCAACTGGCCTCAGAACAAGGTGCACAGTAGCTAAGTGATCCCTACTTACTGATGACTGTGTGTCGACCAGTGGCCTCAGAACACGGTGTATAGAAGCTAAGTGATCCCCACTAAATGACGACTACTGGACTCAGAACATGGTACACAGTAGTTAATTACACATAGTGACGACTGTGACCTCAGTTTAGAGTAGCCAAGCCATCACCAACTACTGATGAGTAATAATCAATTTCTTTATATAAGTTTGATAATTATAAGGTATTATCCATAATTTTTTTTATATTTATATTTATTTATATAAATTTATTTATAAATTATAATTGTGTATAAGCATGAATGAATGAATTAAATGTAGGTCAAGATACCCTAATGGGTGAGCGTGGAAGTGGGGATAGGGGAAGAATTAGTGGGGGTGAGAGGAAAGGTTTTCAGTATGAGGTAAAGTGCCAGGGCTAGACCCAGCTGCATGGCATTGAAATCGTTATGGCCAGATTAGGCAAAGGAGGCAAGGAATCGGATCTTTGTGACAACGTTTCGTCTTTCTGAGCACCCACGGAGATAGCAGCCCTCAGCTGGGTGTGCCATGGAGGCTCACACCAGATGTGGTCTTAGATTTGCTAATCAGCATCGTGCCCCACCCAATGCACCAGAAAACGGGAGCTAGCTGGTCCCCCCCCCCATAAAGAGGGGGGAGAAGAGTTAGGAGGCTATGTAGTTGGAAGTTTGGTGATTTGAGTAGTGGTATATTAGAGGAGAGGGGTTATGTAAAGGACGGAGCAGGAGGTAGATAGTCGATCAGGTTAAAGAGTTTGTGTATATCTCGGTCTATGTAGGACGTTTCAGTGGAATTAGAAGCAAGTTTATTCATTAATGTTATTTATTTTTCAGAAAACATTTATTCAAGTTTTTATACAAAACGAACAATTGAGTTAAAAAAAATGTTTTAAGAAACCGAAATAATTTTATGTATTTAACCTAATATGTATATCAATTATAAATTTTTAAGTATGTGTAATTAAGAAGATATTAACTTACTTAGTTGCTTGTTTTCCCACACTCACTAGATAGGCAGTAGTTTTGGTTTTATTTTTCATTTTTAAAGGGTAACTATAATATTAACAATATATTGCGTTCATTAATTGTTTCGAGAGAAGTGCCATGTTGGCAGATGACCATTTGTTGATGGGTCATGACTATAGGCGCACCCTTTCTCTCCTCTTCTAAACCTTCTTTCTCTTTATACACGACGACCACTATGAAGCCTCGTGATGGTCCGAGTCACCAAACTCCTGTGGGTTGCAACCATATTGTCCTCAGAACACGGTACACAGTAGCTAAGTGATCCCTAGTTACTGACGACTGTGACGACCAGTGGTCCTCAGAACAAGGTGCACAGTAGCTAAGTGATCCTCACTGATGCGTGTGACGACCACTGGCTTCAGAACAAACCCAGGAAAGCCACCCAGCACCTCTTCCTCTCAAATCTTCAGGGACCATTGTACTAGTCCCCGACCCTTCAAACCCATTGTCGGATGATGCTCCAGCTCCTGGTCCGGTCTCGGACATTACTGTGAACGTTACTGAACCTACTGCAGCTGTAACACCTGCTCCTGTTACGGCAGCAACCCAGAAGCCGACGACTTCTTATCCACCATCTCCTGCTACATCTCCACCCACAGTACATACATCCACTGAACCTTCTACACCTGCAATAAGTCCTGCTGTTGCTACTAAACCATCGGGAGCTTTACTTCCACGACCCACATCTCCTGGTATGTACTCATCTGACTCAGCAGATGAGGATGTCTCTGTGGGAACGCCACCTCCACCTTCACGGAAATATCACTTCTCAGCTGCCGATTTCCTTCACGACACTACACCAACAACCTCCAATGACAGCACAACAATGTCAACACGAAGTCGGACCGCCAAGAAGAACAAGCAGAAGACGAAGACCAAAGATCAGAGTTTGCTGCAACCATCAAGAAAGAAGTAAACCAATGACGTAATCAACCTTCAACTACCATCAACTGCCAGCTGCTTGGGAGCCTGGACCCTGTGTGTACTGCAAATGACGCCCCACTCAACCCTACTTCACTCTACTCAAGTTCAAACCCGCGGTGGTTGGGCCACCGATCATTCATCTCCCCTCTTCACCTCGTCTCCAGTTCCTCGCTCAAGATTTCTGCATCGTCGCCCTGTTCTTCCAACCCCTGCTTGCCAGCTCTTTGGACATTTTTACTTTACTTTACATGGTGAGATACAAACATTGATGGACTATAGATAGAGCTAGTACATACAATGCCTAAAGCCCTTTTATGCAAGCGTTTCGGGCAGGGGACGCTTAGCTACACAGTAGCAAGGTGATCCCCACTTACTGACGACTGTGAAGACCAGTGGCCTCAGAACACGGTACACAGTAGCTAAGTGATACCTACTTACGACTGTGTGACGACCATTGGTCCAGTGAGGCGCTCGGTTGCAGCAAGGCACTCTGGTCCAGCGAGGCGCTCTGTTGCAGCGAGTCGCTCTGGTCCAGTGAGGCGCTCTGGTGCAGCGAGGCGCTCTGGTCCAGTGAGGCTCTCTGGTGCAGCGAGGCGCTCTGGTCCAGTGAGGCGCTCTGGTGCAGCGAGGCGCTCTGGTCCAGTGAGGCGCTCGGGTGCAGCGAGGCGCTCTGGTCCAGTGATGCGCTCGGGTGCAGCGAGGCGCTCTGGTCCAGTGAGGCGCTCGGGTGCAGCGAGGCGCTCTGGTCCAGTGAGGCGCTCGGGTGCAGCGAGGCGCTCTGGTCCAGTGATGCGCTCGGGTGCAGTGAGTCGCTCTGGTCCAGTGAGGGCCTCTGGTGCAGCAAGGCGCTCTGGTCCAGTGAGGCGCTCTGGTCCAGTGAGGCGCTCGGGTGCAGCGAGGCACTCAGGTGCAGCGAGGCGCTCTGGTCCAGTGAGGGCGCTCTGGTCCAGTGAGGCGCTCGGTCGCAGCGAGGCGCTCTGGTCCAGTGAGGTGCTCTGGTGCAGCGAGGCGCTCTGGTCCAGTGAGGCGCTCTGGTGCAGCGAGGCGCTCTGGTCCAGTGAGGCGCTCTGGTCCAGTGAGGCGCTCGGGTGCAGCGAGGCGCTCTGGTCCACTGAGGCGCGCTAGTCCAGTGAGGCGCTCTGGTGCAGCGAGGCGCTCTGGTTCAGCGAGGCGCTCTGGTTTAGTGAGGCGCTCGGGTGCAGCGAGGCGCTCTGGTCCAGCGAGGCGCTCTGGTCCAGTGAGGCTCTCTGGTCCAGTGAGGCGCTCGGTGCAGCAAAGCACTCTGGTGTAGTAAGGCACACTTAATTGTTTAGTCCCAACTTACTGACAACTGGGTTGGACCACTGGCCTGAGAACACGGTGCACAGTAGCTAAATAATCCAAATTTACTGATAACTGTGTGAAGACTATTGGCTTCGGAACACGGTGCACAGTAGCTAGGTGATCCCTGATGATCACCTAACTGAGTGATCATAGTAACTGACGACTATGTGACCTTAGAATACAGTGCACAGTAGCTAATTGATCCCCACTTAATGATGACTACTGGGCTCAGAACTTAGTACACCGTAGCTAATTAAACATACCGACTATTGTGATCTCAGTTCAGAGTATCCAAGTCACCAATTACTTATGATGAAGAATGAATTCACGTATATATCTGTTAATAATTATTAGATATTCTACTAAAAAGTTTTACAAATTAACTTATGACAAATATATTTATTAACGTCTACTTATGATTTTGTTAAATTTTCTTATAATTTTGTTATTTGTTTATTATACAAAACTGACATAAGTATTTAAGATATTTTAAAGTTTCTTTAAGAATTATACACAACTTTATATAATACTTTTTAATTTTTATATGAATTAATATTTTGTTTAAAAATTAATTGCAATTAAGATGATATAAATGCTATTTATATGATTGCCATAATTTACTCAGGAGATACACACTAGTTTTTTTCTTTATATTTTAAAACGGTTACTAAATATTCATAATATATTGTGATTATTCATTGTTTGAAGAGGAGTGCGAGGTTGGAAGATGACCATTTGTTGTATGGGGTCATGACTATAGGCGCACCCTTTCTCTCCTCTTCTAAACCTTCTTTCTCTTTATACACGACGACCACTAGGGAAGCCTCGTGATGGTGCGAGTCAACAAACTTGTTTTGGTGGTGCAACCACACTGTATTGAGAAAACGGTACAACAGTAGTTAAGTGATCCCTACTTAATTACGACTTGCGACGACCAGTGGCCTCAAAACACGGTGCACAATATCTAAGTGACCCCAACTAACCAACAACTGTGACGACCAGTTGGCTCTCAAACACACGGTACACAGTAGCTAAGTGATCCTCACTTACTGACAACTGTGACGACCAGTGGCCCCAAAACCAAGATACACAGTAGCCAAATGATCCCCACCTACTGACAACAGTGACGCCCACTGGCTTCAGAACACGATACACAGTAGCTAAGTGATCCCCACTTAATGATGACTACTAGGCTCAGAGAGTGGTACACAGTAGCTAATTACACATAGCGACGACGGTGATCTCAGTTCAAACTAGCCACAGCAATCACCAACTACTGATGAGCCATAATTAATTCCAGTATTTAAACTATATAATTATTATGTATTATCTTAAAAAGATTTTTGATGATTATTATTAAGTGTAAATGGACATGCAATTTTATTAATTAATTTTTTTTTTTCTGAGAATTATTTTAAAAATTTTTATACACAAAGAACAGTTGATTTTACAGGAAATCTACAAATTTTCTAAAAACTGTAAATTATTTTAAATAAGTACATTAATGTTTGTAAAAATATTATTTCCTTTTAAAGATCTTGTAATTAAAAAGATATTATTTAATGCTATATATTTGTTTGTCCTCCTTCACTCAAAAGGTAGGCAGTAGTGTTGGTTTCTTATATATCTTTTGAGGATGACTATAATATTCTCAATATATTGTGATCATTCATTGTTTCGAGAGAAGTGCGATGCTGGAAGATGGACCATTTGTTGATGGGTCATGACTATAGGCGCACCCTTTCTCTCCTCTTCTAAACCTTCTTTCTCTTTATACACGACGACCACTAGGAAGCCTCGTGATGGTGCGAGTCACCAAACTCCTGTGGGTTGCAACCTACTGGTCTCAGAACACCGTACACAGTTGCTAAGTGATCCCTACTTACTGACAACTGTGACGACCAGTGGCCTCAGAATACGGTTGCACAGTAGCTAAGTGATCCCTACTTAAGACTGCGTAACGACTATTGGTGCAGCAAGGCACTCTGGCGCAGCAGCGAGGCACTCTGGCGCAGCAGCGAGGCACTCTGGCGCAGCAGCGAGGCAACTCTCTGGCGCAGCAGCGAGGCACTCTGGCGCTGCAGCGAGGCACTCTGCGCAGCAGGCGAGCACTCTGGCGCAGCGCGAGGCACTCTGGCGCAGCAGCGAGGCACTCTGGCGCAGCAGTGAGGCACTCTGGCGCAGCAGCACGATACCTCTGGCGCAGCAGCGAGCATCTGGCGCAGGAGCGAGCACTCTGGCGCAGCAGCGCGGCACTCTGGTGCAGCAGCGGGCACTCTGGTGTATGAGGCACTCTGGTGTAGTGAGATACTCTGGTGTAGTGAGAGCACTCTCTGGTGTGTGAGGCACTCTGGTGTAGTGAGGCACTCTCGAGGAAAGCCTCTCTGCTCACTTCGCTAAACACCTGTTCACGGCAGATAAGTTCACCACCATCTTATTTGCTTTCCGCGCCTCATCGTCTCAAGGGCCCGCGCGCTGGGCTGAGTAGATATCATGCCACTTTTTAATTAACTTGCGTAAGCGTAACTGAGAAGTAAGTGTTGACACGTGTGGTTCCTATTGACTCTCTGGTCTCATCCTGCACATCGCTGTAGACTCCCATGTGGCCTACACCTGCCCCAGAGACTCCACATGTGGCCTACACCCTGCCCCAAGAGACTCCACATGTGGCCTACACCTGCCTCAGAGACTCCACATGTGGCCTACACGTGGCTCAGAGACTTCACATGTGGCCTACACGTGGCTCAGAGACTCCACCTGTGGCCTACACCTGCCCCAGGAACTCCAAATGTGGCCTACACCTGCCCCAGAGACTCTACATGTGGCCTACACCTGCCCCAGAGACTCCAAATGTGACCTACACCTGCCCCAGAGACTCCACATGTGGCCTACACCTGCCCCAGAGACTCCACATGTGGCCTACACCTGCCCCAGAAACTCCACATGTGGCCTACACCTGCCCCAGAAACTTCACATGTGGCCTACCCCTGCCCCAGAGACTCCACATGTGGCCTACACCTGCCCCAGAAACTCCACATGTGGCCTACACCTGCCACAGAGACTCCACATGTGGCCTACACCTGCCCCAGAGACTCCACATGTGGCCTACACCTGCCCCAGAGACTCCACATGTGGCCTACACCTGCCCCAGAGACTCCACATGTGGCTACACCTGCCCAGAGACTCCACATGTGGCCTACACCTGCCCCAGAGACTCCACATGTGGCCTACACCTGCCCCAGAGACTCCACATGTGGGCCTACACCTGCCCCAGAGACTCCACATTTGCCTACACTGAACTCCACATGAGACCTACACCTGCCCCAGCTAGAATCCACATGTGACCTACACCTGCCCCCAGAAACTCCACATGTGACCTACACCTGCCCTAGAGACGCCACATGTGGCCTACACCTGCCCCAGAAACTCCACAAGTGACCTACACCTGCCCCAGAGACTCCACATGTGGCCTACACTGCCCAGAAAACTCCACATGTGGCCTACACCTGCCCCAGAAACTCCACATGTGCCTACACCTGCCCCAGGGGACTCCACATGTGGCATACACCTGCCCCAGAAACTCCACATGTGGCCTACACCTGCCCCAGAAACTCCACATGTGGCCTACACCTGCCCCAGAAACTCCACATGTGGCCTACACCTGCCCCAGAGACTCCACATGTGACCTACACCTGCCCCAGAGACTCCACATGTGACCTACACCTGCCCCAGAGACTCCACATGTGACCTACACCTGCCCAGAGACTCCACATGTGACCTACACCCGCCCAGAGACTCCACATGTGGCCTACACCTGCCCCAGAAACTCCACTACTTCTTAGTTTGGGCAACATGTGAGAGGAATATGTTCTACTCTGTAGTGTATAACAATAGCCAGATGTTCTTCTCTGTGGTGTATAACAATAGCCAGATGTTCTACTCTGTGGTGTATAACAATAGCCAGATGTTCTACTCTGTGGTGTATAACAACTAGCCAGATGTTCTACTCTGTGGTGTATAACAATAGCCAGATGTTCTACTCTGTGGTGTATAACAATAGCCAGATGTTCTACTCTGTGGTGTATAACAATAGCCAGATGTTTTCTACTCTGTGGTGTATAACAATAGCCAGATGTTCTACTCTGTGGTGTATAACAATAGCCAGATGTTCTACTCTGTGGTGTATAACAATAGCCAGATGTTCTTCTCTGGGTGTATAACAATAGCCAGATGTTCTACTCTGTGGTGTATAACAATAGCCAGATGTTCTACTCTGTGGTGTAGAACAATAGCCAGATGTTCTACTCTGTGGTTGTATAACAATAGCCAGATGTTCTAACTCTGTGGTGTATAACAATAGCCAGATGTTCTTCTCTTGGTGTATAACAATAGCCAGATGTTCTTCTCTGTGGTGTATACCAATAGCCAGATGTTCTTCTCTGTGGTGTATAACAATAGCCAGATGTTCTACTCTGTGTGTATAACATAGCCGATGTTCTTCTCTGTGTGTATAACAAAGCCAGATGTTTTCTCTGTGGTGTATAACAATAGCCAGATGTTCTTCTCTGTGGTGTATAACAATAGCCAGATGTTCTTCTCCGTGGTGTATAACAATAGCCAGATTGTTCTACTCTGTGGGGTATAAACAATAGCCAGATGTTCTTCTCTGTGGTGTATAACAATAGCCAGATGTTCTACTCTGTGGTGTATAACAATAGCCAGATGTTTCTACTCTGTGGTGTATAACACTAGCCCAGAGGTTCTACTCGTGTGGTGTATAACAATAGCCAGATGTTCT